TTTAGAACAGTAAAGAATATTTTTATCTGAACATATGGTCATTCTTAAAGGTGGGGTAAGCGATTTTTCAAAAACACTTTAGAAAACGATTCGGGCCGAATAGCAAAACAAACTTGTAGCCAATCAGCAGTAAGGGGCGTAACTACTCAGGATGTATGCAACAGCTAAAGTCTGTCTAGTACACTGGACGCAACAAAGCGACCTTTGAAAATCATTTGAAATTTGTGTCAATACGTCATGAATGGAATGCAGCAGCAGTTTTGCTTTGTTTCACAGAACTAATCCGTTGCCTGGGTTTCGTACGTATGTGTGGGGTGGTCAAAATAGGGGCGAGACACTTTTGGGGTAGGGGCGTGTTTGTTTTGGTGATTTTAAATCTCAACATTGGCTACCAGAAATCGCTTCCCTCACCTTTAATATGTAAGTCAACGGGCACGTCACTTCGAGAGTCAAAAAAGCAGACACAAAAACATGAATGAATCCCCGCGGCTCATGATATACAGAAACTGAACATTATTTAGATAAGTAATGTTTAGTTTCTTACACAGACTAATCGTTGCTCTTCATAAGACCTCAATATATCGTCAGGAGCTGTGTACGTGGATTCATTTAATGCTTTGCATTTGCGTTTTTGGACGCTCAAAGTGTCAGTGCTCGTTGGGTTCAGCTAAAAATCTTTACCGTTCTACTGAAAAAAGAAAGTCACCTACTTGTTTTGTAGGTGGTTGAAAAAAATGTTTTTTTTTTCTCCATTCTGTCACCGATGGCGTTTTGGTTCCTTGCCGCTGTCGCCTTTGGCTTGCTTAGTTGGGGACACTCTATTTCCAGTGTTATCGTTGACTTGATTGCAAAGATATTATTTAAACTGAGCTGGATGTTGACATCACTGAATTCAATGATGAACTGTCTTTAACTGAAAAATGCGTTTACTATTGTCATTTTGCATTATTGACACTATTTTCCTAATTAATGCTGTTCAGTTGCTTTGACACAATCTGTATTGTTAAAAGCGCTATATAAATAAAGGTGACTTGACTTGACTTGACCTACATCTTGGATGGCCTGGGGGTGAGTAAATTAAAAGCAGATTTTCATTTTTGGGTGAACTATTCTGTAGAGGTTCATATGTGAGATATTTCTGTCCATCATTCATTTTAACGTATACCCATGCTTTACAAATAGAGTTTACCTTATCAATACTGCTATTTTACATTATATTATAATTAAATGGGCAGTCAATGTTTTGTTTACTGAAGCATAATGCTGAAATCTGTTTCCATTGGCAGTTGAGTAATGCATTGTTGCAATAGTTTGAAATCAAATATCAGCTTCTTTTGTTAGACATTTAACACTACTTGAACTCATATGAAATAGTAGCTACATTCTATGATACTGTATAAGATGAGAAACTAGTGAATGGCACAACAGACCTACCAACGAAGAAAGAAATCCATTAAAATTTAAATAAAACGATTTAATGCATATTTATATAAAATAATGTGGGGAAAACTTTAAAAATTGAGAAATATTTTATTGTTTTGTATGAAACCACTTTGCAATGTTTTGACAATGGCATAATCCACACATTACTTCCATGATTAAAAAACAATAAAATAATACAAAGGCTATAAACAGAAGTTGATGTGCATTATTTAATGAGATATTAACACATTGTTATTAATGCTTGTGCCACAATCTTAGCCTCACTATGACTCATTTACACTGCAATCTACAACTCAAAATTTCAGATGCTCAGGTTGTCCATTTTTAGACCACCACTTGCATCAGTTAGCTGGAGTGAACAGATTGTCATGTATTGAATGACCGCAGTGAACTATGTAGTGTAGATTAATGATTATTCATTCATATTTCTGAAAGAGTACAAAAAAAATCTAGCAAGTGTATAAAGTAAATAAAAGGTCATTTTACAAGACAAAACATACATACGTACTTGCTTCAACATCATAAGACCTTCTGGTTGTTAAACAACAGGTTGACCTATGAATACTGTACACTGTAGAATATCCCTGTCAAACATTCAGCGACAATTACACATGTAACATGGATTAAGATAAAAAATTAGTGTTTAGCAGAATACAAGAAAATGTGAATTAGTGTTATAAAGGCAGCTTAAAGGGTTAGTTCACCCAAAAATGAAAATTAGCCTGTGTTTTACTCACTCTCAAAGCATCCTAGGTGTATGTGATTTATTTTTTTCTTTCAGACAAATCCAATCAGAGTTATATTAAAAATTGTCCTGGCCCCTCCAAGCCTTTCAATGGGGGTAAGCGGGTGTTGGTTGTCAACAGTTCAGAAGATGTGAAATAAAGTGCGTGCATCCGTAATAAAACGTCCCTCATGCGGCTCCGGGGGGGTGATTAAAGGCCTCCTGTAGGGAATCCATGCATTTTTTTAAGATAAATATCCATATTTCAAACGTAATAAACACTTTTCTCTCAATTGAGAATGAGAATGAGCTTTATTGCCAGGTATGTTTACACATACGAGGAATTTGTTTTCGTGACAGAAGCTTCCACAGTGTAACAGAATGACAGTGACAGAACAAAAACACAGATAAAAAAATATATATAGAACAAGTAAATAGGGAATACAATATACAAATTGACAATTATGTACAGGTATATTACAATAGATAGTTTTGTATGTACAGGTATATTAGTGCAAAATTGAAATGTAGACTAAGTATGTGTGTTAGATAAATAAGTGTGTGAGTGTATAAATAGTGTTGTGTGTTCCACAGTTATTGTCAAGTGTTCATGAGATGGATTGCCTGAGGGAAGAAACTGTTCCTGTGTCTGGTCGTTCTGGTGCTCAGTGCTCTGTAGCGTCGACCAGATGGCAACAGTTCAAAGAGGGAGTGTGCTGGATGTGAGGGGTCCAGAGTGATTCTGCCAGCCCTTTTGCTCACTCTGGAAGAGTACTGTTCTTGAAGAGAAGGGAGGGTCGTACCAATGATTCGCTCAGCAGTCCGGACTACCCTCTGTAGTCTTCTGAGGTCAGATTTGGTAGCTGAGCTGAACCAGACAGTTATAGAAGTGCAGAGGATGGATTCAATGATAGCAGAGTAGAACTGTTTCAGCAGCTCCTGTGGCAGGTTGAACTTCCTCAGCTGGCGAAAGAAGTACAACCTCTGCTGGGCCTTTTTCACAATGGAGTCAATGTGAGTGTCCCACTTTAGGTCCTGAGAGATTGTGGTGCCCAGGAACCTGAATGACTCCACTGCAGTCACAGTGCTGTTCATGATGGTGAGTGGAGGGAGAGCAGGGGTGTTTCTCCTGAAGCGTGTTGAACTCCAGATTGTTGAGACTGCACCAGACAGCCAGCTCTTTAACCTCCTGTCTGTAAGCAGACTTGTCACCGTCCTGAATGAGGCTGATGAGTGTGGTGTCGTCTGCAACTTCAGGAGCTTGACAGAGGGGTCTTTAGATGTGCAGTCATTGGTGTAGAGGGAGAAGAGCAGTGGAGAGAGAACACAACCCTGAGGAGCTCCAGTGCTGATGTGAGTTTGCCCAGCCTCACTAGCTGCTGCCTGTCTGTCAGGAAGCTGTTGATCCACTGACAGACGGAGGTGGGCCCGGAGAGCTGAGATAGTTTGGGCAGGAGGAGGTTTGGGATGATAGTGTTAAAGGCCGAGCTGAAGTCCACGAACAGGATCCTCACATAAGTCCCTGGTCTGTCTAGATTTTGCAGAACATAATGCAGTCCCATGTTTACTGCATCGTCCACAGACCTGTTTGCTCTGTAGGCAAACTGAAGAGGATCCAGCAAGGGTCCAGTAATGTCCTTCAGGTGGGCCAGCACCAGTTTTTCAAATTACTTCATAACGACAGACGTTAGAGCCACTGAACTGTTGACAACCAACACCCGCTTACCCCCATTGAAATGCTTGGATGGGCCAGGACAATTTTTATATAACCCCGACTGAATTCGTCTGAAAGAAGAAAGTCACATACACCTAGCATGCTTTGAGGGTGAGTAAAACACAGGCTAATTTTCATTTTTGGGTGAACTAACCCTTTAACATCCCAGGCACGTACAGTAAGTTAACAGTATTAATTCTAAATCTTTTAGAATTTTCCACTTTAACACGTGTCTCATACCTTTAGAACTAAGTATATATGCTATACATTTTTTTTTTTTTTTTTTTTTTTAACAAACTAACAGTGGAAGTAATCTTAAGATACTGTCTGTGGAAATATGTATCTTACCCGCGGTAGTGCCCGCTGCCATAGTGGCAGCCACTGGTGACTGACGCTTACTCACTTTGGAAAGAAATCTGAATAGCACGCCATCTCGTGCCAAGGCAAACAGAATGCGGGGAAGAGGGAACATAGAGCCCAACAGGCTAAAAACAAAAAAGGAGTCATGGTTCAGATACCTGTAACTCTGGAAGGAAAAGAACATATTAAAATATGGTAATACTTTTATGCAAAAAAACTAACAAAAAAACATGCTTTCCCTTTCTCTTCCAAATACATTTAAGAGCAAATTGCTTATACACAGAGGTATGTCTTACAGGGGTGAAAATATTTGCTCTGACAATTCAATTCAATGCTATGAAAATTAATAACATTTAAAATTAAAAAAAAGAAAGTTTTGGTTGCTATTCATGTTCAGTTATTGCTATTAATCATAATTATATATATATATATATATATATATATAACAAATATCAGTTTATATTTGGTGCAAACAGAATCAATTCCACAATCAATGCATTAAATTTTCATTGTCAGATCACACACACCTAATGTCCTACTATCACATCACAGGTGAGTGCATCAGCAGTGAGAGGTGTTACAGTGATTGTTCATGATTGCAGTAAAGGCAGAGCTGAATACACAGAGTTCATGTCTGTCAGCTGGTTGGTGAATGCCGTGGATAACAGCTAGTTACTATTATAGCTTTATCTGCTGCTCTTTAACATGGGCTAGTCTTCTTTATGTGCGTCACATACTCCACAGTGCCTTCATTTCCTGTCAATGTCTTTTTCTCTGTCGCAACACCACAGTTCTGTAGATGCCTCTTACGTTCATCACTATGCCAGATTCCATATCCAAAATAGATGAGGAAACCTGTGGATTGATGTCAAAGTTAAGATTTATATAAAATTTGTATGCCTTCATATACCAGCATATGTTGCATTTGGATCCATTAGGTACATAAAGGCAGTTCATCCAAAAAAAAAAAATATATATATATATATATATATTATTAAAGGCACAGTTCACCCCAAAAAAATTATCAAATGGACAGTTTACCCAAAAAGTATTATTACAACTCACACTGTTTTTCATGTTAGATAAGGATAGCACACAATACGGTCCTCCAAAGAACACAGAATGCTTGGCAAACACAGATATTTTATACAGGCTATTACCCTAAAACCCAGTGCTGTTCTGGGCAGAATACACATCAAGATAAACAGCAGCAATGATTCAACATTGGGCACGTCTATGAAAGGGAAAGTTCACCCCAAATTTAAAATTCTCTCACTATTTACTCACCTTCACATTGTTTCATTTTAGATTTTAGGCAGATTGTTGCTGCTCTTTTCCATTCAATAAAAGTGATAGGACCATAGCAGCAATCCTCACAACCTGTGTAGTTAGTCTAAGACTTGTGAATTCATACTGGACACTATTCATTTTTATTGTATAGAAAAGAGCAGCATTCTGGGTAAAATCATCTTTTTGTGTTCCATAAAAGAAAGAAAAAAACTTTGGAGATCAACTTTTGGAGATTTTGGTTTGGAGATCAGTTTTGGGTGAACTATCCCTTTAAGAGTGTGATCTTCCTGTGTATTTATACAGAAAAAAATATTGATTATTGAAAAACTCATAAAGAATTCACTAACTTAAATTAACTGTCTAACTTAAACATTGATGTACTATTAAAAAGTTTGAGCTCAGTAAGATTTTTTTTAAAGAAATTAATATTCAACAGGATGAATTAAATTGATCAAAAGTGACAGTGCAGACATTTATGATACAAAAGGTTCTATGTAAAATAAATGATGTTCTTTTGAACTTTTTCTGCTCATCCAGGAATCTAGAATGAAATGTTTCATAGTTTACAAAAATAATAAACAGTTTTCAACATTGATAATAATAAGAATTGTTTCTTGATTATCAACTCCGCATATTAGAATGATTTCTGAAAGATCAAGTGACACTGAAGTCTGGAGTAATGGCTGCTGAATAGTCAGCTTTGCATCACAGAAATAAATGACATTTTAAAATATATTCAACTAGAAAACGGTTATTTTAAATTGTAGTAATATTTCACAATTTTACAGTTTTTACTGTATTTTTGATCAAACAGATGCAGCCTTAGTGAGTAGAAGAGACTTCTTACAAAAACATTAAAAATCTTATTGACCCCAAACTTTTGTATGTTAGATTTCAAACCTACATACCATAAAAGAAACTTTCTTCCTCGTCTGAGGTTGTCTGCAAACCAGAAGCATGCACATGATGAAGATGAACAAAGATGCACCCAAGACCCCCAGGGCCCAAGGCTCCATAGCAATAATGGCCTGTCCGTAGTATGTGTTGAGTGTGCTAACAACACACACAAAAAACACTGCAGGGAAAAACAAACACAGATCAGAATGGCTACGTAATTTTTATAAACTAACTTGTCAAATCAATCTCGAACTGCTGCTGTACTAACCCATGATCATTACAGACACATTGACGGCAGTGGAAGTCTGCTCAGTGGGCAACAGTGGAGGGTTGAGCAGAGAGCGCAGGGTTACGCTTCCATCCTTCAGCATGTTCAGGTGAGACTCAGACTCTGTCAGTTCAGACTCACCAACCTCTTCCTTGCCTTCATTGATCCTAGACCTCTCAAACGCAGCATCTGGCTGATACCTGACATGCACATTTTATATAGTTACTTCATGCCATTAGAAACAGAAACATTATTAAAACACTAACAAATCTTTTTGTTGAATATGATAAATACATCAAATGTGACAGTATCATTTAAGCTCTACAGAGACTATCACAAGAAAATTGTCTATATAAAATATGTTCAAAGTCAAATCATTGAAATATACATTAAAGAGGTCATATGATGCGATTTCACTTTTTCCTTTCTCTTTGGAGTTTTACAAGCTCTTGGTGCATAAAGAAGATCTGTAAAAGACTAAAGTCTCAAATCCAAAGAGATATTCTTTATAAAAGTTAAGAGTCAGCCACACCTACCTAAAACTATAACATATCTACGTCGCTATGTGGGAAGATTTGCATAACGCCGCCCAAATGTTCACGCAAAGAAAGAAGGCGTAACTTTTATTCTCGCTGTAGTTTTGTTGTTTCCTCCGTCATGTCGCTCTTACAAGGTTGTTTGCCGCAAGCCCGCCGGACACTCCTTCGTCGAATCTGCTGCCTCTGCTCACTCTAGCCCTCCGGCTGTTCCTCACTTTATCCCCCGGCCTCCACTCACGCTAGGCCGCCGTGTGTCACGCTGTTTCATTGTGAAAGCGAAACTACTTTGTTTGGTCTTCCAAAAATGGACCAAGCCCTCCGGACGCTCCTTCGTCGAATCCGCCGCCTCTGCTCACTCTAGCCCTCCGGCTGTTCCTCACTTTATCCCCCGGCCTCCACTCACGCTAGGCCGCCGTGTGTCACGCTGTTTCATTGTGAAAGCTAAACTACTTTGTTTGGCCTTCCAAAAATGGACACGACTAGAAATCAGTGGTTAAGTTGTATTTACAACACTGTTCCAGAACAGTTCAACCCAAATATTCAGATGTGTGCAGCACATTTTATGGAGGACTGTTTCCTGATCCTGGAAGAGTAGACCACAATGCCGGCTGTTCTGACTCAAAGACAGTACGTCTTTTATATTTAAATAGTTTTTATATTTTATATATTTAAAGCGAGTTTTTTGGGCAGTGTAGTATAGGACTTGTTGTTTGTCATTTCTCCGATCACAAATGCAGACATGGTTTTATGTTTACGCGGCGCGGCGCGATGCAACGCAACGCGTAAAAAGACAGTATAAGTCATTATAATCCATAATTATGTCCCCACTGGATGCAACAAATGCCTCGTTTATAATGGGTTTTCATGTTTTTGAATCATCGCTCCGGCCTGACAGGGCATCATCACAATATGGCAAGGGGCGTAACATTTCCGTCTCACGCTTGAGGTATTCGGCCAATCACAACGCACTGGATAGCTGGCCAATCAGAGCACACCTCGCTTTTTCAGACCGATGAGCTTTGTAAAAATCGGTGCGTTTCAGAAAGGCGGGGCATAGAGGAGAAACAATAATGTACAGTATGTGGAAAATAATGTTTTTTGAACCTTAAACCGCATAAACACATTTCAAATACACAAAATACTTTTTATCAGCATCATATGACCCCTTTAATGTAGCACAGTTGGGAAATGTCATTACCACTAGATGGCAGACCACTGCATAATTCTTGCTGTAAGTGTTGTACCGACTAGTCTATTGGTTTGCTACTCTGCATTTGCCTCTTGCTTATGGGACATTTTCCCTGGTCACATTCCATGAGGTTGTAAACGTATCTGGTGTCAGTGTTGCTATGGAACCAGGGGCCTGTTCGGCTTCCTGGGGTGTTACAGAGTATTTGTTAAATCTAGCTAACAAAATATATATTGTGTGTTTGAGTGGTCCAGACGCTACAATCATTAAGAAGCATACTTGTATTAACAGCTGTATCGCAAATAGTAATGCTGTCACCATGAAGTGATTGATTGATTGATTGATTGATTGATTGAAAATGAATGCACTGAATGTACACTAACCTGAGGATTAGAACACAAGCAGCCACCAAAGAGTATGCCAGCAAGGTTCCAATAGACATCATGTCTACCAGCACTTTCAAGTCAAACAGGAAAGCCATGATAGCTGTTGGTATTAAACAAATGCTTATCAGATTAAGTTTAAAAATAATACATTAAGTGCATAACAAACACAAATTATTATATCACAAACTATAAGAACTTCTATAAATTAAATAGTTTAGATACACTTAAAATGCATTAATTCCATGGCATAACAATTTAAATACCTCTACTTTCTCATAATTCATGTAAATTTTCTAAGCAATGTTTGCAATTACTTGCTAGGTTGACAACCAAAAATTTAACAGTATACAGTATATATTGTTTTGTTTTTATTTTTTGCTTAAAGTGTTATATTCAAATAAATTCCAATTTAATGCAACGGTGTTCATACATTTTTAAGTGTGGCTTGGTTGTAAAAAAGATATCAAGGTCATTATACACCAACAGAGCATGCACAGTTTCTTATTTCATTTGTGTTCATTTAATTAAGTAAATCTTACAAATTTAAAGAGCAGGATTGGTGAACTATGTAATTGAAGTCAATAATCAATACAGATTCCTTCATTAGTGGATGTCTGATTTTAAACTCAGAATGCAATAGCATTGGTATCTTCTGATGAAATTCACACCAGATGTGCCCTATGACTTCATATACAGCTGTTTAGACTTCCCTCACAGTAAGAAGGCCGTGTACACTAACAAACATACAGTGCTACAGTATAGGCTTAATGTGCAGGGGGCTCCAAAAACCATTATCTGCCCTGCGTCCTCATCCCTTCACTAAGCTTCCCCTCTGCCTTCTCATTCTTTAGAAGTCCTCAGAATCCATAAGCATCCACTGAGTGACCCCTGCTAGCATCAAAGTGCTGTATTACCACACTGTAGTGAAGTACTGAGAATCCCTCCCTGCAGCTGTCAGCAGTATTACACATCTGCACCTGACACATGAAGTCAGATATACTACCAGTCAAAAGTTTGGAATAATTGCTATTTTTTATGTTTTTAAAAGCAGGGTCTTATATGCTTACCAAGGCTACATTTAATTGATCAAAAATATAATAAAAACAGAAATATTGTGAAACATTTCAAATAACTTTTCTACTGTAATATATTTTAAAAATGCAATTTATTCCTGTGATGCAAAGCTGAATTTTCAGCAACATTACTCCAAACTTCAATGTCACATGATTCTTCAGAAATCATTCTAATATGCTGATTTGCTGCTGAAGAAACATTATTATTATTATTATTATTATTGGTGCTCAATTATTAATAATGTTTTATAAATATTAATAATAATGGTTGTTTGAAACAGAAATCTTTTGTAGCATTATAAATGTCTTTATGGTCACTTTTGATAAATGTAATGCGTCCTTGCTTATTAAAACAAAAAAATTATTTATTTAATTTTTAAATCTTACCCCTGATTGATTGATTGATTGATTGATTGATTGAAAATGAATGCACTGAATGTACACTAACCTGAGGATTAGAACACAAGCAGCCACCAAAGAGTATGCCAGCAAGGTTCCAATAGACATCATGTCTACCAGCACTTTCAAGTCAAACAGGAAAGCCATGATAGCTGTTGGTATTAAACAAATGCTTATCAGATTAAGTTTAAAAATAATACATTAAGTGCATAACAAACACAAATTATTATATCACAAACTATAAGAACTTCTATAAATTAAATAGTTTAGATACACTTAAAATGCATTAATTCCATGGCATAACAATTTAAATACCTCTACTTTCTCATAATTCATGTAAATTTTCTAAGCAATGTTTGCAATTACTTGCTAGGTTGACAACCAAAAATTTAACAGTATACAGTATATATTGTTTTGTTTTTATTTTTTGCTTAAAGTGTTATATTCAAATAAATTCCAATTTAATGCAACGGTGTTCATACATTTTTAAGTGTGGCTTGGTTGTAAAAAAGATATCAAGGTCATTATACACCAACAGAGCATGCACAGTTTCTTATTTCATTTGTGTTCATTTAATTAAGTAAATCTTACAAATTTAAAGAGCAGGATTGGTGAACTATGTAATTGAAGTCAATAATCAATACAGATTCCTTCATTAGTGGATGTCTGATTTTAAACTCAGAATGCAATAGCATTGGTATCTTCTGATGAAATTCACACCAGATGTGCCCTATGACTTCATATACAGCTGTTTAGACTTCCCTCACAGTAAGAAGGCCGTGTACACTAACAAACATACAGTGCTACAGTATAGGCTTAATGTGCAGGGGGCTCCAAAAACCATTATCTGCCCTGCGTCCTCATCCCTTCACTAAGCTTCCCCTCTGCCTTCTCATTCTTTAGAAGTCCTCAGAATCCATAAGCATCCACTGAGTGACCCCTGCTAGCATCAAAGTGCTGTATTACCACACTGTAGTGAAGTACTGAGAATCCCTCCCTGCAGCTGTCAGCAGTATTACACATCTGCACCTGACACATGAAGTCAGATATACTACCAGTCAAAAGTTTGGAATAATTGCTATTTTTTATGTTTTTAAAAGCAGGGTCTTATATGCTTACCAAGGCTACATTTAATTGATCAAAAATATAATAAAAACAGAAATATTGTGAAACATTTCAAATAACTTTTCTACTGTAATATATTTTAAAAATGCAATTTATTCCTGTGATGCAAAGCTGAATTTTCAGCAACATTACTCCAAACTTCAATGTCACATGATTCTTCAGAAATCATTCTAATATGCTGATTTGCTGCTGAAGAAACATTATTATTATTATTATTATTATTGGTGCTCAATTATTAATAATGTTTTATAAATATTAATAATAATGGTTGTTTGAAACAGAAATCTTTTGTAGCATTATAAATGTCTTTATGGTCACTTTTGATAAATGTAATGCGTCCTTGCTTATTAAAACAAAAAAATTATTTATTTAATTTTTAAATCTTACCCCAAACTTTTGAGTGGTAGTTACAATCACAAATATCCATTTTCCATCAAATATTATGTAGCAGAACTTTTTTTTTTTAATGGCTGCTGAAAATTCAGCTTTTCCATCACAGGAATAAATTACATTTATAGAAAACAGTTATTTTAAATTGTAATAATGTTTTACAATATTACAGTTTTTACTAGATTTTTGATATAGTAAAAATATGCAGCCTAGAGCATAAGAGATTTCTTTCAATAACATAAAACATTTTGATAATTCCAACTTATACTGGATGACTGATTTTCTTTCTTTTTCCTGTCAACTTCACCACCAAGCACTCTACATATCACATTTGCTTGCAATAAATAGCTTCCATAAAGGTTTTTATCACATATTGTCTAATCACAGCGACTTTTAGCACCACCACCACAGTGACAGCATGCATCTATTAACAGCATACTGCAATTAAGCAAGCACACTGCACCTCCACCAGGCTGACACAAACAAGACAGCAGGCCATGCAAGGCCTACCTCAGTCTTCGCTTACCCGCGGTAGTGCCCGCTGCCATAGTGGCAGCCACTGGCGACTGACGCTTACTCACTTTGGAAAGAAATCTGAATAGCACGCCATCTCGTGACATGGCAAACAGAATGCGGGGAAGAGGGAACATAGAGCCCAACAGGCTAAAAACAAAAAAGGAGTCATAGTTCAGATACCTGTAACTCTGGAAGGAAAAGAACATATTAACCAACACCAGCAAATGTGAAGGAGCAGATATTGACCAAGTGCAGCCAATTGTGTTTTTCCAGTCATATGTAATTATTGGAATTTTTTTAAGTAATTGTATAAAGATTTTAGATATGAGCATATGATACACAGACATTTATATTCAATGAACTGCCGTGACTTTTTAGGATTTTATTCATTTCCTTGATTCATCCAGGCTTGGAAGTTACCATTTTTAAAAGTCCTGATATTTCAAGGTTTATTTGATGTATGTTTTCCATGTTTCCACAATGTCTTTTATTGTACATTTCCGCTCTTTTTCACATTTGCCTGGTGGATCACATTCGCGATTTGCATAGCAATCGTGCCCCCATCTCTCACCTGCAACTACACCTGAAGACATTGTAGCAATAAGCGGGGTCTTCGTCTTAGGATTGATTTGGGCTAACGCTTTGAAAAGCACCCCATCCTGTGCCATAGCATAGATTACACGTGGCATTGGGAAAATGGAGCCCAACAGACTGCATATAAGGCAAAGACATCAGCAGAAGCAAGGGGTCAATTAATTACTAGGGGTGGGAATCTTTAGGCACTTCACGATCCGATTTCGATTCTGGGAATCACGATCCGATTCCAAAACGATTCTTGATCTACATATTTTCCTAATTAATTTTTCTGCTGTGCAAATACATCTTTACAACTTTACATTTTAAACAAAATTGCAGTTTCTATGCTTTTTTTATAGTTGGAATCTCTGTCAGTACTGCCATCTTAAAAATAGGGGTGTGAATCTTCACTGGTTTCACGATTCAATTCAATTACGATTATCATATCAACGATTCGATTCAACTCAATATCATGATGCGTCACATTTTCAATATTACTGCACATGGCTACATTTTCATATAAATTTTATATCAAATTTATTTTGTGCAAATTTTACTTAATTTTTTTAATTAAATTATATAAGCAGTCTACTTTTTAAAATAATTAATTATTTTAAAAATGTGTTCTTTAAGTAGGCTATCCGAAAGTTTACAGACAATCATAGTAATGGGTTTTTCTTTTTTCCTCAGCATTATTGCTGTTTGATTATTACTGATGAGATCACAGTCAGCGGCAGCTTTAACAGGCTGCATTTACTCTAATGCATCATTCTATTTCGATATATCAGATGTTTTGTCCTGTTCTGAAAACATAGCTAACGGTGTTTACCTCAATTTCGTATAAAAGTATTCGGACATCAAACACAAAGCACAGGTGAAAGTCTGTCAGTATGTGCGTTTCGTGCATCTTATACGTACTGCATTCCAGAACTTGTAACCACTCTAAGTTCGTCTGCCTTTGGAAAGCTAGCGTGTCTTCGACATTCTAATGGGACGAGATCTGGTTGAGCTGCACTAGAGACTAATAGTGCAATAGTACAATGATTTTTTTTTTACCTGACAGTAGTAAGATCAGACAGACAGCAAAGAAATCAGGGTACTCTGCCAGGCCGGGCAAACTCATTTTGAAGTACATTTTGCAGAACTTTTCAATGTGGCCCCCTATAAGCTCATCAAATGTCCCACTCCATGCACGTGCCACACTAGAGGTCCCTGTCCCAACAGAATATCAGTTTAGGTTGGAAAAAAAAAATTTATTTGCTATTTAACTGATTTATAATATTGCCAAATCATAATTACCTATGACGTATGACAGAATGAGGTTCCATCCTGTGATGAAGGCCCAGAGCTCCCCCACGGTCACATAGCTGTACAGATAGGCTGAGCCCGTCTTGGGTACCCGTGCACCAAACTCGGCATAACACAGGCCGGCCATCACAGATGCCAGAGCAGCGATGAGGAAAGACACCACAATGCTGGGACCAGAACTGCTTTTGGCCACCTCCCCAGCAAGCACATAGACACCGGCCCCAAGTGTACTTCCCACCCCGAGGGCAATCAGATCAACAGTGGAGAGGCATCGGCACAGCTTGGACTCCTCCAGACAGTCCTGGTCCACATTCTTCCTCCTCACAAGGGAGCGGCCAAACGTGAGGCAATGTTCCAGCATTCTTCCTGTTAACTGTCAAGATGTTTGTTTGTTTTTTGTTTTCAAGATGACATTTTTCTTTTCAAGTGAAAGGATACGATTTATTGTCCTTTTTATATTGTACATATTCATGATGACCCAGTATGTGTGGTGAACATTTTGTAGATTTTTTGGCTAACGTTGTGCAAATGGGATGAAAAAAACAAATGCACAATGTTAAGATTTGATTCTGCAAGCGAAACAAAGTATTGCGAACCATAGTGGAGCTGAGGCATGTAAAAAAACACTGTATTATTCAACAACACTTTTGGCCTTTGTTCTCACTTGTACATGTCTGCAGTTTAAGCAGGCTTTAGAATTGCACAATGTACAATAATGTAAAAGCCTTAGGCATTATTGCATAATAGTGGTGTGAAGTGAATTTCATTTTGATAGGCGTAGGTTTTTGGCACATCGCTTATTGGCCAGTGTGCTTCTGTGCAATTAAAGAGTTAAGTTAGTAGTAAGCCGGTAGTAAGTTAATTGAATTTAAAAGTTTGTTATAAATGTATATAGTATTATGAGTTTATATAAAGCAGACTGGAACATGTATATAAAATATTTAGACTTATATAAACTGAGGACAATACTAGACTCCTTCCACAATGAAAATTAGTTACATACACTACAGAGGTAATTAAACCCCTTTTAGCTGTTGTCATCATTAAATAGCTAAATAATATAATCATATATCTTTATACACTTTTCAAAGGTTTGGGATCGATATGATTTTAACTTAACTTTTACTCCGCAAGACACATTAAATTGATCAAAAGTGACAGTAAAAATATTTCTAATATTACAAAGATTTCTATATATAAAAAAAAAATATATATATATATATATATATATATATATATATATATAATTATTATCACACAACATTAATAATCACAACAATATTATTAATATTTTTGCAAAAAATATTAAGCAGCAAAAAATATTTTAAACGTTTATAATATTAAGAACCATTATTAATTATTGAGTACCAATAATAATTAAGTAGTAAGTCATCATATTAAAATGATTTCTGAAAGATCATGTGACACTGAAGACTGGAGTAATGGAATAAATTACATTTAAAAAAAAAAATTTTGAAAAGAGTTATTTTCCATTTGTAATAATATTTCACAATATTACTAATTAACAGGGGCGTCAGACTGGGGGTAAAACCAGTACTGATTACCAGGGCCCCAAAGGAAGAGAGGGATTAAAAAACTAAAATAGTATGGGCATGGGGGCCCATCAGGACTGCCTATGCATAGGGCCCGGGATCTTGTGCAATGCCCCTGCTAATTAATATTACTGTTTCACTGTATTTTTAATCAAACAAATGCAGCCTTGGTGACCATAGGAAACCTCTTTCAAAAAGATTTTAAAAAATTAACAAGCCCAAACTTTTGAATAGTAGAATACATATTTTTATATACACACACACATACAGACAGTACATAGAACACTTTTATGGATTTGTTTTGGTCTCATTTTGCATGTAAATGAGGTTGCAGACCAAAGTTGCAGTTAAGTTACTTCCTAAAGAACTTCTTTTACACATAAAAGACATTCCTATAAAAGATTTGGCACATTGTGGTGCGTGTGACCAAGTGGCTGGGCATTAGCATTACACTGTGTCTGCCTACAACCTGTGAAAAGTGTTAAGGAATCACACACGCAGAGCAGATTGACATGCATGAGGCTGTACCTGTGAGCTGTAGCCCTGAGAGCTCATCCTGATTAATTTGACAAGCAACTCTGAAACTCAGTTACAGCACAGCATATTTTATAGCTGAGCCAGACTTTATTCTGTCTTACTGTAATGAGTGAGTGGATATCATTAATACAAGTTTAATGAATTAATAGAAGTTGGTAAGAGTACAGACAGACTTTTGCACATGCAATGGTCATAGATTAACTTTTATACATTAGTCTGCTTTTAAAATGATATGTTTTCAATGGATCTGCTAAAAGTATTTGAGCATGTGTAAATGCACGTGAACAATTCAAAATTATCTAAAATTATGTATTTGCACACAAAAACTAAAACTTACCACCTGATGAGAGACTGGCAGCTGTAGAATCGCCTTATGGACGTAATGCCTTACAGTTACACGCAAACACACACATACATGCACCCCCACACACACACACGCCTTTCAGGGATCTCCACTGATTTCTTAAAAAAGCTCACAGGCTCAGAGAGATCCAAGTCAGTCCTTCCCAAGTCCTGTCTCGAGTTTGCTCCTTCCTTCCTTCAAGCTCAAATGACATGTCAGCCCACAACTGCACTAGTTTTACTGCCTACTTTACTCCGTTCTGGTTTGTCTTAACTTGCCCTGCCCCCTGTGAGGAGGGCTGGTCTGGCAGCTGTGTGCTGCCCCAAAGAGGAGGAGAGACTTAGACTTCACACATGAGAGAGGCAATGCTAATTTCCCTATTCAATCAGGTCACCGGGTTTTTTTAAAAGCATGTTCTTTCTGGAAAAAAAACAACAACAACACTTGGCCGAGTAAGTCCCAGCTGCCAGTGCATTTATTGACCACTGATAAATGGTTAAGCAATTGACATTGACAAACATTGAGACAGACAGATCTGTTTGCCCAATGCAGTGTGGAAGAGTCACTAAAAGCATGGACACTGATTGGACAAAGAGGTCTGTCAAAGGTAAAGGTTTTAATGGATGATTGTTTCCCTTATTTATAAGCCCATGAGCACAGGGATACTGGGTCAGTTGGCCTCTCCAGAACTACAGTATAGTGATAATATAACAAATCTGAAAGACCGAGGTGATTGTCAAAAGTCAAAAGTCGAGTTACTGAAAAGCTGAACACACATGCTTAAGAATTTTTTTTTGTCAAATTTGTGGGCATAGTAACTAAATATAAAGAGCAATGCAGAACTAAAGATCAAGTTCCCATAGACCTTAGTCAAGGTGATGAAGGAAAGGAAAACGAAAGCTGGGTCTCAAAATGCATTTTTTTATTTTAGTTGAACCACTTTTGAAGGAATAGTTCACCCCAAAATTCAAATTTGTTGAACATTGACTCACCTTCAGGCCATCTAAAATGTAGATGAGTTCGTTTTTTTAATCAGAATAGATTTGGAGGAATTTATCATTACATAATTTGCTCACCAATAGATCCTCTGCAGTGAATGGGTGCCGTCAGAATGAGAGTACAAACTCATCTACATCTTTGATGGCCTGAGGGTGAGTACATTTTCATTTTTGTGTGAACTTCACGGCATCTTAAAAAAATGTAAATGCAGGATTCATGTGAGATGCTTAAAAAGCCCAATGCTGCATAGTAGTCAAAGACGTCCACCTTATGTTTAACCTAGGTTACATCTCTGCAAGATGCAAGCTTAACAGTCAAATATGTCCATCTAGTGCATTTATACTAGCCAAGACAAGGTGAATAGCTAAAAAAAAAAATACCAAAATACAAAAAGCTGTATAGGATAATGGTTAGTAAGATAAATCAAATTATTATATATTATACGCTTAAAGAGAGGTGTGGGTGTGTTTGCTATTATTATAAAGGCAGGTGGTGAAGAATTAACCTAACATGAAAATATGTTTATTTACAGTATTTAATTCCATCTTTTATGTTATTTACTCAGTCTACCTTCTATTTAGAAAATATGAAAGTTTCTGAAACTGTGTGGTACAATGAGTTTTTCTCCAATCACTCTTCTCTAGCATGTGCCGGGCAGATTTGTTATTCTTCCTCAGATGTAAGGCTGTGTCCATTTTGTGCCATTTATCTATCTGAACACTACAGTGAAAGTAAATGCCACTCTGAATAGATGGCTAAGTAAGGGCCACCACTGCAAACATTTACACACTACCCAGTGAAACAGCAGAACAGACTGCTTTACAGAAATTCAGGGAATGTGGTTTAACACATTTGCCAGTGCTGGCACAGTCATCAGGTAAAATCAGGCCTGACATGAATCAAAATAAATTACATTAAAAGCCTGATGCAATTACTTGCTAAAGAACTTTTGAAACACCACAAGATGTGTAGAACAGAAACTGTAGGTGCATTTCACATGAACAGCCTTTAGATTGCATAAAAAAATTACTGAATGGGCACTGGCGAACATCTCTCATTGTTGGTTTGAAACCCAGAGGCCTTTTCAGGCATAAAATCAAGTCCAAAGAGCATCATATGCCAATGTAATCCTACACAGCAGAGAGAACAAAAGAAGACAAGATTCCTTGAGAAATGGGAAGAAACCAGTTAGTTTCAACTACTATTTTTTTTTCATCTGCACATTCATTTCAGGTCATGAAATACTGAAACTGTTTGTCATAGGCACACTCCACACCACTTAACAGAACTGTCACCAGGATATGTTCAAGTCAATTATTAGTGGGAAGACTGGGAACAGTCCAAGCTAACGGCTACAGATAAGAATATAAGGATGCAAATCGGAAAACTGCTGTGCAATCAACTTAAAGGTGCAATAGGTGATTGTCTTCAGAAAAATGTTTTGTTATGTTAAGTCTCTTCACATCCCGATAGCAATCATTAAGTTAAGTGGTCTAAATGTATTTATCTGTATTTATATATTCTGTGGAAGGCGTAGGATCAAGAAATGTTCGTCCAATTAAAACGCTCGGTCAGAGCGTTTTAATTGGCTTTCCTACCTGCCTGTCAACGTATGTATCTGCATACCTCTGCGCACCTGGTTCAAGCAGACAGGATATGTCATTAGCGCGTTCAGACAGTGTGCAGACAGAGCGAGAATGGTAGACAAACATCAACAACCTGATCTTCCTTCCTGGTATTGTAGTACTTTTAAAGTTTTCTCATCGGTAAATGACACATGATGTAGCCCAGCGGTTCCCAATTCCAGTCCTCGCGATTCAGATAACCAGCTCATTAGAAGAGAGCTACGTGTATGAACTGTGTTCCGAACTATATGATCCATACACAGTGTTCATTGCTCCCTCCTCCCTGAGCGGGGGAAATCTGTTGAAGTTTACTTCACTTCGGAACATGGGCTGGAATTGGGAACTGCTGATGTAGCCTATTGTAATGTTGTCTCTGGTATTCTGGTCTGTGAGCGTATATGCATTCAGGGGCGTGGTTTGGACAGCAATTGCAGGGAGGGTGGGACGTTCGCTTTCAGTGCTATCAGGCTAAAGTTAGCATTTTCCAAGATCTCCTACTGCACCTTTAAGTTTCATGCATTGTCATTGTTACAAAACGCATGCAGCTGTTACGAAGATGAATTGCCCTCTCTTTCTCTTTATCTATGAGAACAAATAACTTTTATGCAGTTTTTTTTTAATGCAGAGTGTCACTGTGTGCTTGCTTTTGTTTTGATGATGCACCATCGGTGGAGTCCTTAGAGTGTTACCTGTTAACCGTCTTACATTAAAGAACCATCTTAAATGGTCAGCCTGATTGAAGGAATAAGACCAATAATGATGCTTTACTCCACTGACACTTATAGCTGTTACCAGAAGATTATAAGTTTAGACATGAATGATACTGTGCTGCCTCTGCTAAAGTTGAATATCTAGACAAGTCTGATCTGTTAAACTGAACATCGGCATAGGAAAATTATTATCTATGACATCACTGCATTTCCTAAGGAGAATCTGGTGAAGGTAAGACGACAAAGCTTTTTTTTATGCTAAGAAAGCATGATCTGGTATCATAACTTACAGTAAGTGCAATAGGAGGAGATATGCATATTAACTTACACAGTGAATAGTGACATACTGACCCAGGAACCTTTCTTAATGTCCATAATCCTGCTTATTTTGAATACCAATGTGAAAGCTGAAATGATCACCTGTGTGTATTGCAAGAGCTACTTAATGCTTGCTTTATTACAAAAGTGCCCAATTTGCCTAATCCTCTTCAGCACAGTGGTCCTGTGGGAAACTGCTCCAAGGTATTTCTAGCTTAGTCAATTTTCTGTGCCAACAATGCAGTGGGAAATAACTTTTTTAAACTTTTATAAACTACTTTTTTAAAGTAGGCCAAAAGTTTTTTTAGAATACATTTGTTGATTTTTGCATGTCAACTAATGATATAATGATTAATAAAAATGGTATGAAGGCTGAAGGCTGATGGACCAATCCTTAGTTACAGAAACTGGGCCATTACTGAAGTTACAATCCTGCTTTATTAACCATTATGGCCCTGAGCAGAGCACATAACCCCAGGTTTGCTCCTGTGGGTCGGTCCTTTCCATTACATATACAATACAATCTAGTGTACTATGGGTTGATATGGATGATAATTACTGATTAAATTGTAAGCATTGCTCAAGTCTGGGACATGGGTGGTTATTAGAGGCATGTTTAGAGAAGGGGGAATGACACATATAGGTGAATGCATATATGTTTTCAGGCTAAATACATTATAATACATAGTAGGCCTTCTCAAATTCTGCAGGCTTGAACAAGCTTTAAAAAAATGGTAGGCCAAAAGATCCACTAGTAACAATTTTTCTGAAATCTCTGCAGTAATATTTTAAGCATATGATAGGGGAAAAGAGAAATCTCCTAGATTCAATTAAACAATTTGCCTATAATCTATCAAAATGGGCAAACGATATAAAAGTCCCCATAATAAAAAGTTAAAGAGTACTGAACTAAATCACAGTGGTGATTGGACGTGAAATGCTCAATTGACAAAATCAAAGTCCTTGACACTATTTTCCCCTCAACATTAATGCTGCATGTACAGAACAAAACTGCACAATCAACTGTCTAAAAAGGCTCACTGATTAACTCAAAGAGTCATATGACGTCACAGAAGTGTCAATATGTATTTTGTATAGGGAGATGGGGGAGGGAGGTTTTAAGAATGAGATATAGTTATCTGTGAACTTAATGTGTGCTATTATTAACTGGGAAAAATGAACAATTTAGGGAAAATATAAATTGGTTAAATAAATATCACTAAGATAGGGATAAAAAAAAGGTCAAGAAGACAATATGTACGCCATGTTTGTCAATTTTGGGTATTTTATACAATTAACCATAATTTTACTGCCATTAAATCATTTTTAAACAAGTCATCAACTGTTCAAGGTCATAATGATGTTTGATCCTGCTAAGCTTCATGATTCAGCCATGTAATATTTACTCAGTGGTTTCAGGCCCAACAATATATAATCCACAGTGTGCATGCTGATATAACAGTCCAACAATACTTTTGTATCACTGTGCTTGTGCTGTGGGGATTTTTCAATGACTCCAGTGACTTCTTGCAAGTTACATCATTACACTAGTAAGTGGTGACCGTAGACTGTAAAAAGGAAGGTGGATCTTATCTTCCATCCACTGTAGAAAAGTGAAGAGGGAGAGAAAGCACCACAATAATGTCACCAGACCTAGAATTGTCATTTTTGCCCTGATGACATATCTAAAAATAAACCTGAAATATATATCATAGGAGCTTTTTAGTAAAAAGTTTGTAAATAAACATAGGCACATAAATGTATTTGAACATAGTGCGTAGCACGACATGTGCATATATCCTACATAGGTATTTTTTTTAATCTGATTGCTAGTCAGATTCAAGCATTTACTTTTGTTTTTGTTTTGTTTTTTGAACAGATTATTTCAGATCTACACCACCCCTGATCAAAATTTGGATCAAACTCATTTTAATGGACTGATGTGTTTACATGAAGGATTTTCAGTCAGATTAAGCCATTAATACTATTACTAATTGTTTGGTTGCATGTAAATGTAGCTACTGAATAAGTCATTTGTTAAAAACCATAATTCATTTAGTAACAAAAAAAAAACAGACAAATATTGTTGGGTGTTGTAATGGATCGGTTAATAGTGGCTTTAGAGCTATTTTCATTGGTAAACATTGACAAAGTGACTGACAAACTGTATCTAAAATGTCATTTACTCAAAATTAACCTCCTGTTTATTGAACTGTCGTATAAAAACAGGTTTCCTCCTATATGCCAATAACTTCTGTAATAGTTGTAACATGATGTTTCTTCCGAAGACTTGAAAACATCTGTTGTGTAACTACATTGCTGTGACAACTTACCCTATATTGTTTTTTTTTAGTGTGTCAACCCCACATACAAGTCAAGTTGTATCTCTTTTCCTGGGCATCAACAATAGGAAATGTTTTTTTGTATCCAGGACTTCAAACATCACCTAAATATTCACTGGAGTAAAACATAATTTCATTAGATTAAGAAAACGGCATACATGCGCTATATATGCACACGAATACCCTTATAGTTTTGGCGAAAAGACCTTTTCTAATTTGCTTACACCACGAAACTGTTCGGCTTTAGGACCCAGCAGCGGTCAGCGAGGCACAGAGACCTTACGGTGAATCACTAGATGACGGGAGGAGCCCTATGTATCCGTATCAACCAGGATTCAAAGCAGCTCAGCGTTTTAACAATAATTCAGATATTATTGTGTTTAAATGAACACAATATCACTCGAATAGAATGACACTAAGAAGTATTTCTGTACCCTGATGAGCTGCACGGAGGTGTGGTGGTCAGAGATGGAGCACATCAGAATGCCAAAGGTAAATCTCCAGCATCCATTCAATGATCCAATAATTCCCTTTTTCATGACATGTACCTCACATCTCCACGCATTGCTTCCACGTGCTCAGCATTAGTAACTTGAGGTTTTATTATGGTGTTTTATTTAGTGTGACTTTAATGTGATCTTGTAAATGGAGTCATTCGCTGGATTCAACTCCGAGACCAATGTGCAAGGATAAAAATACAGGGGCCTGCATCTGTTATAATTTACATTATTTATAATGTAAAGAAAATGACTGAAAAGCCATATTCAATTTTAAGTTTTGCCATTTGATCACAGATAATTAAAACATGCAGTATAATTTCAGACCAGAAGGATGATGGTCACTAATATATATGTTTGTGAGCTGGTGTTTTAATGCATCACTAATACTAATGTTGTCTAATTAACTTGGTTATTTTTCACAGGTTGAAAATGTCCGGTTAGTGGACAGAAGTTCTTCTCGAAGAATTCAAGTGGGCACGCTCTACCTGACAGCCACACACACGATCTTTGTCGGTAAAGGATCTGAGGACAGAAGTGAGCTGTGGGTAAGTGTCTGATGTGTAAACTAGCATTTGGCATTTTTGGTATGTCATTGTGCAGAATTTCTGTGTTCTAAATATGAACTACTTTAATTTTATAAGCACAATAACTGACACTTTATGTTTGTTTTTCACAGGTTCTGCACAGTTTGGTGTGTAACGTTGTAAAGCATAAAGCATCTCAGAGCGGATACCCTTTATTAATCCACTGCAAGAACTTTCAGGTCATGCAGTTGATCATTTCTCAAGAGAGCGACTGCCACAATGTTTACACTTCACTCTCACGTCTCTCCAGGCCAGGTGGGTCACCTAGCATGCATTTTGGCATTGTTTTAGAAATATACTGTGATAACGATATCATTGCAGACAAATCAGCATTTGTGTATTTAATACAGTTTTCAAAAGTAATTCAATTACTACACTGTTATGCTTATTTCAGTGTACCATGTTTTTGTTTTCTGACTTGCAGAAAAATATGAAGAGTTGTATTGTTTTTCCTTCAATCCCAATGTCGACAAAGCTGAACGGGAGCACTCATGGGACTTTTTAGATCTGAAGGCTGAGTACAGTCGAATGGGACTTCCAAATAAGCTATGGCATGTCACCCCAATCAACCGAGAGTACAGGGTTAGTATATCACCAACCATCACTACGTAAATACAATCAATATATTATGTAAGTGTTTGTTTTTTTAATGCACAACATTTCTTCTTGTAACACAGGTGTGTGATACTTACCCAGCTGACTTGTTTGTGCCTCAATCCGTCACCCTCCCTGTCATCATAGGGAGCTCACTGGGTGTGGCTAGAGAAATTGAACTCAGGTGTGATAAACCACAGTTTTAACAGGGGGGCAAACACTTCTTCACACAGGGCCATGTAGTTTTGGATTTTGTTTTCCCTTAATAATAAAAACCTTCATTTAAAAACTGCATGTTGTGTTTACTTGTGTTATCTTTGACTAATATTTAAATTTGTTTGATGATCTGAAACATTAAAGTGTGACAAACATGCAAAAAAAAATAAGAAATCAGGAAGGGGACCAACACTTTTTCACACCACTGTATACTGTAGATACCTAATTTCTGATGGACCATTAATGTGATGCAGCTTGATTTTGCATTAAACTCCAACTTGATTTGGTTTCTTTACAAAGAAAGTGCACTGTTCTACTCCCAACTCAAACTTGCAGTCAGTTAAACATTAAATTGTAGTTAATTTACCATGGCTAGATACTAAATGTGTCATGCAGCATGTGTGTGCATTGTGATTTACAGCAATAATGGATATTTTAAAAGCAAGGTCAAGTTCTTTCTGCACCCTCTTGGGTTCGGCACTCTTTTAAAAGACATTTCATTTCATTGAGGTCAAATATTCTCCTCGGAGTCTCTGTGTTTTCTTTTGGACACACGAATTCAAACCACATGGAGAAACTTGTGTGTGACTTCCACATAAGGATCATGCTGGTGAGGCCCAAAGGGGTCAGTTATAGTTTAATATCTCCCCATTCATGGTTCGTTAATCCCAAAATATGATTAGAACAGTGTCTGTGTGACTTCCACATAAGGATCATGCTGGTGAGGCCCAAAGGGGTCAGTTATAGTTTAATATGTCCCCCATTCATGGTTCGTTAATCCCAAAATATGATTAGAACAGTGTCTAAAAAAAGTAATAATGCAAGCTCAGCCTTTAGAGTTTTATGAGACCAGGGCCAAATTCTCATGAAGTGCCCATTCCACAGAGAGGACAGTGTGATCTTCTGCTCTTTAAGTTGAATTTATTAATCGAGCATGACAGGATCAGACTGGGAATTACTCTTAGGCTGAATTATTGCATTTTACTCGATTGAGCAGAGTTTATTTTAATGGAAGTATTAAAATATAATTTAGATTTTTTTTTTTTTTACAATTATTTACATTTAAAAAATTATCTTTTTGTTTCCATTTTTACAAATATATTAAAATATTATATTTTATTAAATTAAAATGTATTTCTTATTTATTTTAATTTTTAAATGCTGGGGCCCCTTTCCCATTTGGTGTGACTTCCACATAAGGATCATGCTGGTGAGGCCCAAAGGGGTCAGTTATAGTTTAATATCTCCCCATTCATGGTTCGTTAATCCCAAAATATGATTAGAACAGTGTCTAAAAAAAGTAATAATGCAAGCTCAGCCTTTAGAGTTTTATGAGACCAGGGCCAAATTCTCATGAAGTGCCCATTCCACAGAGAGGACAGTGTGATCTTCTGCTCTTTAAGTTGAATTTATTAATCGAGCATGACAGGATCAGACTGGGAATTACTCTTAGGCTGAATTATTGCATTTTACTCGATTGAGCAGAGTTTATTTTAATGGAAGTATTAAAATATAATTTAGATTTTTTTTTTTTTTACAATTATTTACATTTAAAAAATTATCTTTTTGTTTCCATTTTTACAAATATATTAAAATATTATATTTTATTAAATTAAAATGTATTTCTTATTTATTTTAATTTTTAAATGCTGGGGCCCCTTTCCCATTTGTTCAGAAAGCTGAATTTATTTATCAAGCATGAAAGGACCAGGCTGGGAATTACTTTGAAGCTGTCCAGCACACAATTTTACTACTTGGAAAACATTAAAAACTTTGTTTTATTTATTAATTACATTTAAATATTTATTTGTGTACATAATAATAATTAATAAATACATATATTTCTATATTTATTTTAAATGTTTTTTTTAAAGGACCACTTTCACACTAAAGAAACACTGTACCACTAAAACTATTTTGTCCAACACTTATTTGTCTTGACTTCACTTTTCTAGGGTACCTAATGAACAAGGACCAATACTGGTGTCCATTAAAAAAAAAAAAAAAAAAAACATGACACCACAGGATACCAACATATGCTAACGCCTATTCATACAATGTCTTTTTTTTAGGCCACAATATGTCGCAGCAGTCAGCCTCTCTCTGGCTTCAGTGCTCGCTGCCTGGAGGATGAGCAAATGCTGCAGGCCATCATGAAGTCTAATCCTGGCAGCAGATTCATGTATGTTGTAGACACCAGACCCAAGGTCAGTCCACTTTATATCAGTATATGATGGACCAGATAGCAAAATTACACATGAAAGACACTTTATGTAAGACTCATTTATTTCCAGCTAAATGCAATGGCAAACCGAGCTGCGGGCAAAGGCTACGAAAATGAGGACAACTACTGCAACATTAAGTTCCAGTTCATCGGCATTGAAAACATCCATGTGATGAGGAACAGTCAGCAGAAACTCATAGAGGGTATTGTCTCCAGCTTATTAAGTGAGAAAATGAATTTCACCATATACTGTAGTATTATGCTCCGGAAGATCCTTCTGTTAAGGTTTCAATTTTTTTTTGCAGTAGTGCTATAGAGAGACTATTTTTGGTTCCCCAAAGAACATTTCAGTTAACAGATTTTAAAAGAAACCTTTTTTCCCCTTAATGTGAAGAACATTTTAATATTCTGCAGAACCTTTTTTACACTATAAAGATCCTTTTGGAAAAGGTTAAAGATCTCATGCAACCATGGATGCCAAAACTGTTTTTAGGAGTGTAGACCAGCTTGAACCAGAAGCAGCTCTCCTTCATTTCTTCCCATAGTGCATTTAAAAAACCAAGACTTAAGACCACTTAGCATTTTACTGTCTATAACAAAGATGTTCTGCAGTGAACCATTGATTGTACCACAGGAGAGTTTCTTGGCAAAGCAGATTGTGTTGTAGGGGTGCTTTGAATCCATCTGGGTTTTATTCCTCGCCTATTTTTGTTTTGTTGACTTGACGATCTTTCTATTTAATTCATCCATGCCGAGTATCGATTTCTATCGATTTCTTTTTTTTAAAAGAGCTTACTGATCTTACTTTGGAGTGGTATTTTATTCTGTTTATTTTATGTGTAGGTGCTGATTGAGAAAGACTGGGTTTCTTTTGGACACAAGTTTTCACACAGGTTGGCCTTCATTGAATAATTTACAGAGGTTTTCTGATGTATTAGCTCAAAAGTGCTCATTCTAAATGTAAGCAACTTTATGGCATTTCAGATGTGGTCATCTTGATGGAGAAGCAAAGGAAGTGTCACCTGTCATAGACCAGTTCCTGGACTGTTTATGGCAGCTTATGGAACAGTTTCCCTGTTATTTTGAGTACAATGAGAAGTTTCTAATCAGCATCCACAACCACATCTACTCCTGTCACTATGGCAACTTCATTTGTAACAGCCAGAAGGAGAGGAAAGATCTGTGGTAATTGTCCTGTGTATTTGATGGCATGATGTCAAAACTTAATTTGCCAAAATGTATGATACGGGGTATGCCAGTATTCTCTGCATGTATTGAACACGTTTTATTGCATGTGTTTTTTTGTTTTGTGTTTCTGTAGCATCAAAGAGAAAACTCATTCCATATGGCCTCATTTATGGGAGAACAAGCTGGATTTCATGAACCCTCTGTTCAAACCTGATCAGAGCCAGAATCAGGGACTTCTAAGGCCCAGAACTGCCCCCTACTGTTTTAAGTATGTCATAACATGTTAAATTGGTTTTTCTTCTCCACAATGAAATATACACTAATAATACATATGTTTATTCTCTTTATCATGCGGTTTTTCTCTTTAGTCCTAAGTATTAATTTGTTTTTAAAAGTCAGAGTAACTGATCTATGGTATTTGTTTGTTTAACTGCAAAAATTGTTTGTCTTTTCTGTGTTTAGATACTGGAGAAGGTTGTATAACCGTTTTGATCGTGAGTTGCACCCACGTCAGTCTGAGCTAGATTGTCTGATGACTGTAAAAGAGGAAACGCAACGACTTGAGGAAGATCTGGCTCTCTGTGAGCAGGTAGAACACCAGATATTTGCCTAAAAAATCTTTTGATTTGAATCTCTTTTAAATCACAATGAAATTGTGAAGACCACCTTGTTTACTTAAACGAATAGTTCACCCAAAAATGAAAATTTGCTGAAAATGTACTCACCTTCAGGCCATCCAAGATGAGTTTGTTTATTCATCGTAGCAGATTTGGAGAAATTTAGCACTTGCTTACCAGTGGATCCTCTGCAGTGAATGGGTGCCGTCAGAATGAGAGCCCTGATAAAAACATCACAATAATCCACAAGTAATAATCCATTGGTGAGCAAATGATGTAATGCTAAATTTCGATGAAGAAACAAACTCATCTACATCTCGGCTGGCCTGAGATTGAGTAACATTTCAGTAACTGTTAATAATTTTTTGATGTATTTTATTATGCATGTTCCTTTAAATATGCGTGTTCTACAAATGCAGAATTATCATCCACACAAAGTCTGCCTTTTTAACTTCAGTGATCAAGTATTTTACCTTTGCAGAAACTGGCTGTTCTGGATAAGGAGCGTGCAAAAACCCTTTACATGCAAAAGGGTGTGTTGGAGAGCAAGCAGGCCCTGTGGTCGTTACCTTTAGATACAAGCCTGGCCAATACTCCTCAGGATTACATCGGTGGCTTTATAGGTGGTGCTCCCAATGTTTTCACCCTACAACAAGGAGAGAGAGAAAGCTCAGAGCTTTGCCTGTTTGGAGACAAACCAAAAAGCTCTGATGCTGACAATAGTGACCAGGAGTCAGGAGTGGCAGATTTCAGCTCCCATTCTTCTGGTGAAGAGTCCTTGCCAAGTGAGGACAGTGTGAAGGATCCTGATTCGGATGAGACTGGCCCCAACAGAGCGTGAACAAATGCAACATTTTGCAAGAAGAAAAAGCTATTACTGTACCTGATCAACTGTATGTGATCTACTTGATCTGCTGTATGTGATCAAGATATGAGTGTGGTATTTCAAATTATGCAAAGATATTGGACAATGTGGACATGTGTCTGGCATTACAGAAGCATGTCTTTCTGTCTGAACATGTAATACAGGTGTACTATATAAAGAGTGATATTTTAATCTAGTATATATTTATAATTTCTCATTAGCATGAATTCTTTCAAACATTAAATACTTGTGTGCAATAAATTATCTGATCTTAATTTTTTGCACTTTGTGCACTTGAATAACATGAATATCTGAAAATTCTGTTTATTGTGAAATGAATGTGATATTTACATTAGAAATTACTTATTTAAAGCTATTTATTTCTTAGTGGATTCGGATGGTCCTTGGATAGTTTACATAGTGTAAAACATTTGTCTGGCACAATGATCTTTGTTGTTTGTTAAAAAACTAATTCCAAGAAACGCAAAGAACCAAAAGAAACCAGACCAAATAAGCATTGAGTGAAGCAAAAAATATATTAATACTAATGTATACATTTAGGAAATTAATGTTTTCTTAAATTATTTTGAACATAGTGTAAAACATTTGTCTGGCACAATGATCTTTGTTGTTTGTTAAAAAACTAATTCCAAGAAACGCAAAGAACCAAAAGAAACCAGACCAAATAAGCATTGAGTGAAGCAAAAAATATATTAATACTAATGTATACATTTAGGAAATTAATGTTTTCTTAAATTATTTTGAAGGATTAATGGAGACAGTTCTCCAGATTTAGGTCAGTTTAGATCCATATTGCAGATTTCCTCACCTATTACCATGTCTTAACCTCTCACTTTGTCACGAGATGTGTAATGTTGATACAGTATATATAAAAAATAAAGGCATTTCTGGAAATTGAGTGATCTAGTTTTATCAATATTATTTATTTGATTTTTTGTTGGGACAATGTAATCACAGCTCACATTATTGCGTTTATCCCAAAATCATTTTTTGTAATTTTAACAACAAACACAACCTTTATAAGCAAAGAGACAAACAAAACATTCAAAAGGGGTTGCAACACATGAAATTCTGAAATTATCTAAACTGTGTTATCTTATAACACCATAGAAGAGTCTTACCACAGAAGAGAGTTCTTTAAAGAATTCAAATATATATATATAGTATCTCACAGAAGTGAGTACACCCCTCACATTTTTGTAAATATATCTTTTCATGTGACAACACTGAAGAAATGACACTTTGCTACAATGTAAAGTAGTGAGTGTACAGCTTGTATAACAGTGTAAATTTGCTGTCTCCTCAAAATAACTCAATACACAGCCATTAATGTCTAAACCGCTGGCCACAAAAGTGAGTACACCCCTAAGTGAAAATGTCCAAATTGGGCCCAAAGTGTCAATATTTTGTGCGCCCACCATTATTTTCCAGCACTGCCTTAACCCTCTTGGGCATGGAGTTCACCAGAGCTTCACAGGTTGCCACTGGAATCCTCCTCCAATCCTCCATGACGACATCACGGAGCTGGTGGATGTTAGAGACCTTGCACTCCTCCACCTTCCGTTTGAGGATGCCCCACAGATGCTCATTAGGGTTTAGGTCTGGAGACATGCTTGGCCAATCCATCACATTTACCCTCAGCTTCTTTAGCAAGGCAGTGGTCATCTTGGAGGTGTGTTTGGGGTCGTTATTATGTTGGAATACTGCCCTGCGGCCCAGTCTCCGAAGGGAAGGTATCATGCTCTGCTTCAGTATGACACAGTACATGTTGGCATTCATGGTTCCCTTAATGAACTGTAGCTCCCCAGTGCCGGCAGCACTCATGCAGCCCCAGACCATGACACTCCCACCACCATGCTTGACTGTAGGCAAGACACACTTGTCTTTGTACTCCTCACCTGGTTGCCGCCACACACGCTTGACACCATCTGAACCAAATAAGTTTATCTTGGTCTCATCAGACCACAGGACATGGTTCCAGTAATCCATGTCCTTAGTCTGCTTGTCTTCAGCAAACTGTTTGCGGGCTAAGGACATGGATTACTGGAACCATGTC